GAGTAGTTTCAAGGCATATATAATGACGTATCGTTCTTGAATTTAAACCACAATCGATGAATAGGACATTGGATAAGTATCTAGGCGTACGAGGTGCGGAAGAATGGAACTTAGCGTTGGTTTGTAAGCTTATGCCGGGAGAAATAGGCTCCCACAAGCAGCGCTTACACGACGAAAATTAAAGGAGGGGGGGGGGGTAGGAAAGATATCTTTATCTTTTATATATATATATATGCATCAAAGTATACACCTGCGAATCTAGTATCCTAACAAACCATTAGCCACAGCACACGCGGAGCTCATGACACGAGCTTTTATGCATACGCTGCATTATGCGCATAGGACCCATCAGCACCATAACCCATACGGTGGTCACTCTCATTGCTGTAGAAATCGATATCCGACGCATCCGTGGGCTCCCGGCCATCTCCGTAACTGTACTCACCATCGTCGTACTGCTCCTGCTCGTACTGAGGTATATCAGCCTGGCTTCCGTAGTAGTCCTGGCTACCCTCTTGCATAGCGCCAGTGGTATGCACCGAGTCCACATCGTGGTAGCTGGGCCTCATCGACGACTGTAAGCTTGACTTCACGAGCCCGTTCTGCGAGTTTGCCGTGTCTAATGGACGCAGCATACCTTCGCCCTTCTTGCCATCGGCACCACCACCCGCACCAGCTGTTCCCTTGTAATTCGCCAGAGACGGGGGTATCTTCATCTCATCGGACCACTTCTTCAGGCCCCAGGCCATTCCACCCAGTGCCCCGAGCAGCATCAGGCCCGCCACTATGCCGAAGACGAGCGCGAGAGTACCACTGGTAGCCATGAAGGTGAACAGCAGCACAAAGTAGATATAACCTCCCACAAAGAGAACGAGTGAAAAGTAGTCGAAGCACAGCACACGCCAGCATGTCCACGGCTCCATTCGGTTGCAGTCGTCGTTCCGCCACAAGGCGTACGCGAGGAGAGACTGGATAGCCACCAGAGCTCCGAAGGCCATGGTAATGATCGACAGCCTATCTACTGTGGTCAACTGCTCCGCACTGGCGGACAAGGGGGTCACATCGTACGAGCACGAGAGCGCGGTGAGGATGGCAACGCCCGCCATACCCACACGCACGCCCACCTGCTCCACCAGGTTGTCGTTCAGCATAGGCTGGGTGCACGTGATCAGGCCAATGAGCAACATGGGGAACACAAAGTAACGGATGACATAGGTTGACTGGCGCGAGAATGTGACATCCATCACGACACCGCCCATGCCGTCGGTGAGTGCGTAGGTGGGAATCGATGCGTAGGTCCCGTCTGCTTCGGCTTTGTTCAGCGCTACTACCAGCGGTGTATCAGTCATCTCACTGCACACGTGGTCTACGTCAAACCCACCCACCCGCAGGTTCTGCATAGAGCGAGCGATAGACCCGTTGCACACGGTGTAGGTATTGTCGGTCGCTTGTTTGGCGATATTGAACCCGTAGTCGGCCAGACTAATCGCGGGTGCTTTGGGGTTGTTCTTGCTCCACCACTCGTCCTCGGCGCTCTTGTAGGGGTTCGCCACATACACGTGCACCTGCAGGTTGTGCTGGTCGAATGGGAAATCGGAATAGTCCACCTTGGGGATCTTCGCCACCACCTTCATCACACGCGACACTTGGACAGTGCAATCGTCAAACGACGGACAGTTCACAAAGCTCTGGAACGCAGACGATCCCAAGCACGCCCCTTCGTCCTTGCAGCAACCCACGTCTTGGCCCTGAGAGATGAGTTCCAACTCCTTCTCGGTACACTGGGCAGGCGACACATGTATCGTGTTATCCTGTGCTTTGCTAGTCCTCGAGATGAGCTGTAACTCACGAACGGTACCGTCCTGATCGATATACTTCATGTCTATTACCAACTGCGGCTGCCATACATCGCCAGGTGTATTTATCATTGACCCGAACAAGCGCGAGTCCTTCCATTGCAGCACATACCCGATATCGACCATGGCCATCTCAGTCTGTAGATATGTAAAAACCCGAAGAAGTAGTGCTCAATTAGTTCTAAAGATCGCAAAGTGGTATGTACGATTGTTCTCGAGTGAGCAAACTAAAAAAGCACCTCAAATGAAACCAAATAAATTGCGCAAATGTCAACTAACAAATCAATGACAACGCGATACCGTCGGCAAATATCGAGCCATAAAGTACAAAACATCCTAAACTTTGCCTTGTTTTGCAAAGTGTTTGCAACGATCGCCAAGGACGAATGGACGCTTACCAACCCCCAACCATACCTCAACTACGAAATCAAAGTGATTAATCTGAACATTCGACAATGCGATGTCGAGTGGCAAAAGACAGTCGTTTGTACCAGTGCAGTCATCTGAGTACGTGCGTGGCCATGGCGGGTACGGCCGTTGTCCCATGTAGTAGCAGAACGTCTGGTCTATTTGCGAATCCGAAAATCCCTGGTGTGAACAGTACTGTGACCTGTGATTGAAGTACAGTAAAAACACTAGAAATCAGAGGAATGTATATCAATAACCGCCCCCATTTCGCAGCAAACTGTTGGGCCACGTAGAGAGAAGGGAAAGCAATCGCACATCGTATGCACAGAATCCGAGTACTTTTAGTACCTGTAATTCATATAATAAACACTATAGTGTGACAACTCGTGATAGCCCAAGCACAAGATACCGTTGTATGTACTTAGTGTGTAATAATAACTATTAAGATAGTGAGAAGCTTGCACACTGAACAGCATCATATGCGCATCTTCCTGATACCGTGATTGCATAAATAGAACAGATCCCGAAACAGAATTGAAAAGAGACCAGAAACGTTGAACCTATGATTGACATTCGAAAAAATCAAAGGATGAAGAACAAAAAAAAGCGAGCAAGATATGTCACTTGTGCTAAGATTGAATAACATCAGTAGAACATATCAAAAGCCAAATCAGCCCTACTCACTACTCATGTCCTATATACCAAATCGATCTAAGCTTTTTAATTATAATCACCACAAAAGTATTAAATTTGAAACATGTACGTGGATCAGATTGGTATGACCAAACCATATTTATGGATGTCGATTTACCATTGACATTAAGGTATGCACTTTTATGTGCGAATTCCAATACAACCTACCCATACATATTATATTGTGCACGCAAATATACATTCTTGATGGTTGCATGCATCTGCATAAATGATGAATACCCCCAAACAAAACTTTTGAACTACTATTTCCGACTGTATTATGTGACTAGACAGACAAGATATCCATAAATATATACAAACATACATATACCAATATATCTATATATAAACATATCTATATATATATATGTATATATATATATATCAATCAATATATAAATATATGAATATACATAAAAATACACGAATATATAAATAAATGAATACATAAACAAAGCAATATATAAACATTTAGATATATAAATATATAACATACAATGACATATTTATATACATACACATATGCATACATATCTACAATAACAATTATATGAACATTAAACAAAAACATAACATATATTCACGCATGCATACATACATCCATATATACTCGCTTACATACATACAACATATAAATCTATATATATATATATATATATACATGTATATATAATATATATGCGCACATATAA